GCCAAGATGACGCTAAAGAAATGAGATCAGCACTGAATGCAAGTATTTTTCTTTTCCAACTTGAAAACACAGTTAACATCACTGAAGTTAACATTACTACAGGTAATTACACTTTTGTGACATTTTGAATTCTGCTTCCGATCTTTGTATGGGGATTTGCATGGTCTCCCCATGATGCATTGGTTCCCCCCCCACACTCAAAAAGACCAGCTGTTAGGATAATTGTGTGCAGTGGTTAAATCAGTTACAGAGCCGTCCTGTTTACTTATCATACATATTTATGATCACACCCTTAAAGATGCAGCACATCCATTTGTTGTTATGTTGTTCTACCATTTCAAAGGCGCACAAAGTAAAATTTAAAATGTGATCAAAAAGTTTTTTTCCCCATATTGGTATTGTACATGTTGCATGGTTAAAATGTACTTGGAAATTTTTTGAAAAATAATGTTTAAATCAAACTTAAAAGTGCATCAAAATCGCTACAAGTATTACGCTTGCTTATTTATTGGCAATGTCCACGTGAAAATGTATTAAAATATCAAGGTACATACACACGTCTTACCTCTAGCAGGGTTTAGCTAGTAAGTGAAGTTTTGACGGCAGACCAGAATAAGTCAACATACAGAAACACAGGACAGAAATCAAGACATCCTGTAGCAATATCTCATTCACCAGCTACTAATGAAAATTAACATTAAGGCTGATGAAAATACATGAATTTTAGCTCAAAATTGACCTTTTATTAAACCATTCACTTGGAGTCTTCCACTAAATTTTGGAGCATCACGTAAAAAAATGGTTAACATTGAAAGGGGAGGATCTGCGCTTCTGCAAGATCCCGTTTAGACATGAGGACTTGGACCTGGGCTGGTTGCATGTATGTGACCTGAGATGGATTACGACTGGCTGCAAGTGACTCTAAGGGGTCAAAAGATGGATGGATTAATTATAGCCTTTCAATTACATTCATACAAGCGGTGTTTGCTTTGTACCCAAATGCTCTCAATTCATCCTCAGTGTGTTACCAGAATGGTACGGGATTCCAGTGCAAGTGTGAAGAACCGCTAACCTGGTCATACAACAGCTGTGTTGCATACACCCCTTGTGATGACATCATTCAAGGTACATGCAGATGCATCAATGCTGTACCTTCTGATGGACATCGCTGCCAACTACAACTATGTAAGTACAATCAATCCTATTTATGTTGTCATGTACAATTATGCAACTAAAACTTCTAAAGAAAATAACATTTATTTTTCAGAATTATTGACTTAAGTATTATATTCTGTTTAGTATATCTTATGCTACCAAATTCCAAAAACTACTTTTGAAATGCGTAGTAGAACTAGACCATACATGACGAAATGAGATGTAATACACCAAATTAAAGGTAAACAGACTTTCTGTACATAACTGACAAAATATAATCAATTGGATGGTTTAACAATTGCTGTTCTATCTTTGGAGCTTTTATCTTTGATGCCATGCACATAGTTGGTTTTTTAGCTTTAATTCTCCTTGTGTACTTCTTTTTGCTTCTCATACAGCTACCAGAATTGAATTGGACTATGACATTAACATTGAGGTGACCGTGTCAGATATCGCAGTGATAAATGATCTGAGGAACCTTCTTGCAACAACACCATTCCCATATCCACTGACTGATACCATTGAATTTACTGGGGTGAACTTAACAACAGGTAAAAGCAATCGCTCGGAGATTGTTTCTTCACAATTTCTTTCAAATTATCTAACGGAAATTTTAAGATACACTACTGTTCACCATTTAGAAGTTTGGGGTCACTTAGAAATTTCCTTGCTTTTGAAAAAAATCTAGTTTTTTTGTCTGTTAAAATAACATCAGATTGATCAGAAAGACTGTATAGACATTGCTAATGTTGTAAACAACTATCAATAGCTGGAAATGTCTGCTTTGTAATGGAATATCTACACAGGTGTACAGAGGCTCATTATCACCAACAATCAGTCCTGTGTTCCAGTGGAATGTTGTGTTTGCTAATGCAAGTTTATCATTTTAAAAGGTTGATTGATCATTAGAAAGCCCCATTGCAGGTATGTTAGCACAGATGAAAATTGTTGTACTGATTAAAAAAGCAATAAAACTGGCCTTCTTTGGACTAGTTCAGTATCTGGAGCATCAGCAATTGTGAGTTCGATTTCAAGCTCAAAATGGTCAGAAACAAAAGAACTTTCTTCTGAAACTCCTCAGTCTCTTGTTGTTCTGAGAAATGAAGGCTATTCCATACAAGAAATTGCCAGGAAACTGAAGATCTCATACAGTGCTGTGTACTACTCCCTTCACAAAGCAGTGCAAACTGTATCTAACCAAAACAGAAAGAGGAGAGGGAGGCCCTGGTGCACAACTAGGCGAGAGGATAAATACATTAGAGTGTGTAGATGGAAAATTAGACGTATCATAGGTCTTAAACTGGCAGCTTCATTAAATAGTACCTGCTTCAGACCAGTCCCAACATCAACAGTGAAAAAGCAACTCCAGGATGCTGGCCTTTCAGAAAGCAGACACATTATTTTCCTTATTTGAATAAAGTGAACCCACTGATTACTTCTGACTATCTCATTCTTGCTTCCTCAGTTTGTTACCCGAATGGTCCTGGATTCCAGTGCATGTGTGAAGAACAGTTTGCCTGGTTGAACGACAGCTGTGTTGCGTACACCCCTTGTGATGACATCATTAATGGCACATGCAGATGCATCAACAGAATACCGGCCGATGGACAGTTCTGCCAACTAACGCCAAGTAACTATCGTTCAAACACTTTTCCTATATGTGCCACATACTAGATCTCATAAAACTTCTTTGCTGTAATAGAAGTATTTGTGTGGGCGGTCCTTAGTCATTCTTGTAGTGATCTTGATTTTATCTAAGGGAAAATATTGAAGTTCCAGTGGATGGAAATGTATGACATAGAAAATAGGAAACAAAAACATATGTCATACATAAATCAAACTAAAGAAGTGACCATACCTTTGACACTTTTGCAACTATAACTGCTCAAATACAATTGGTTGAAGAGATTTTTTTACATGACTAAAACACTCTTTGTTTTCAATCCAGTTCATATTGTAATTCAGTAATTTCCCCACAGTTAGAATAGCTTTGCTATTCTATTATTTATTCTCCTTCTGAAGTAATGAATGTTACATTTACTCTTTTCAAGACACCAAAAGTGCTTTACAGAACCAATGGTGAGCCACTTGAACCACCACCACTGTGTAGCCCCCACCAGGTTGATGTGACAGCAGCCATTCTGCACCAGTACGCTTACCACACAGTAGCTAAGGTGGTGAAGGGACAGGAGAGATTTTAGCAACTAGATACAGGTGATGATTAGTAGGCCGGATTTGATAGGGCCACAGTGGGCAGTTTTAACCAGGGCATTGGGGTACCTCCCCTACTCTTTCAAAGGATGCCCAGGGATTTTTTATGACCTCAGAGAGTCAGGACCTCGGTTTTGCATCTCATCCAAAGGATGGTGCCATTTTTACAGCATAGTGTTCCTGTCACTGCACTAGGGGATCGGGGTCAGTGGTGGGCAGGGTTCTGCTAACTGCTAATTATAAAAGCTCACTTCTTCATTAGCAAAACATTGTTCCTGCTTACTCTGAAAACCATCAGCAGACCAGTTAGCTTCCTCTGGATGTATTTCCACTAACTGTAAATCCACTAACGGTGTTTCCCAGGTAAAGTAAATCAAATTTAACCTCAAAAAAAAAACATTTCTAGATCCTAAAATCACACAAATTTACTCCAGTCTGTTGTGAGCTTTCAAAAGTCTATCTGGTATGCTGTTGGCTGACTACATGTAAACACAAAACATGACTGATCGATAACGTGTATTTAAGGTAGTCTGGGCTAAATGTAAGTGAACAAAAGTAAAATCCATTTAAACTGGGGTACCCTGAACTAAGCGGAGAACTGGGCCCTGTATCATGGCACTGGATTTCTTACTTAGTCACACACCTTGTAGGATTTCAGGTACCCAGCTTAAATATACTTTATGTTTCTTCAATTATATTTAGCCCAGTCTACCTTAAATACCACAAGTTATCCAGATCAACAAGGAATCCTGCTTCAGCACCAACACCACTTCCAACCACAACCTAGCTTTCGCAGTTGGTCTCCCATCTAACTACTGGCCAGGGCCAAACCTGTTTAGTTTCAGTATGGATTACCTAGTCCATGCTGCAGGTGGTATGGCTATATGTGTCCTTTTCACCCGAAGTTCTCATTATGAATGTATCACTTTAGTTTTCTTCAGGAAATTATGCATTCAAAAAGCACCAATTTACAGTGTAATGTATAGTGGACATCACAATCTTAATTCAGTGACAATTAAGTACTTCTTTTACAACTAAGCCCAAAGGATTTTTACCATTCATTTTATTATAATAAGGTTACTGAAAATTTTTATGTGTTTTTGTGGCCATATCATTATTCCCCTATTTGTTTCAATAGATGAAAATGCTACAATATCATCACATCCAGCTACATTGTTAGGTATTGTGGGTGGTTCATGTGCACATTAATGTATCAAGATCCATCCGTCTATCGTCCATAACCACCATATCACCCAGTGCACAATTGTGGTTAAACCTGGAGGCCGTCCTGGGATGCAGAGGGAATAAGGCAGGGGCTACGCTGGACAGGATGACTTTGCAGGATGGACAAATCAAATGTTAATTTTAATAGTGCAGTATGATGAGCTATAATTCCAGTTGAGTGCTTCCTCGTATGTGGTTATGGAAGATGGATGGATGGAATATATGAAACCCTACACTGCAAGATGGGGCTTCCCTTGAGAATCTGCCCTCCCCCCCGACAAATTTCATTGTGCCCCTCGCACTCCCCCCAACCAATTTTATGTGTAATTTCAATGATCTGATTGTGCCAAGGTATCCATTCCCCTACAACATCCCTTTTTTGTGGGGTAGAGATGTTGTCTTATCGAATGGATCATGTAAATGCAGTATCCAACATCAACAATGTAAACACAGTTTAAACTGTTTTTCTTCTACAGATTCTACCACAGTGGGGCTCACAATGCAGAATATAACATCTACCGGTATGTGTATGTGGACACATTTCATGTTGGTTCCAGGCACTTTTTTTTATCGTGCCTCCTTTGCCTTTACAGATGCTGTCACCACCTACACTGCTGTGTCATCTGGTGCGTACAGCTGATAAACCTTCCGGCTCTTGCTTATGCTGCAGACATATATTCTTTGCTTTTTATTTTCTGTAGATTCTGCCACAACAATGCTCACAACAGGAATGTCCAAGATAGAAGTCCTAGTATGTCCTGGCAATGATTTATAATTAAGTCCCTTTAATAATAATTTCAAGGAGCTCATCATGGTAATTTAATTGTCAACATGCACATAGAGTCAAGAATGAGCTGTACCCATGTCACTGATACGTAGGCGATAGAGCTGTGTTTGTACTGTATAGTTATATAGCTCAATAACCCACCTTACCTTCTGTGCTAACCGGTATCGCTGTTTAGTCTTGTGTTACCAGTTAACAGTATTGCTCGAATTTTTCATGGAACTATGGGAATTGATACTGGCAAATTGTGCCAGGACATTGCAACTGAATGGACTTTATTAGTGAGTATATCCTGCAAGTTGTTTATAAGTCCTTTGTAACCCAACCCTTTTTGACCAAATTCTTTGTCACCATGGTAGCTGTGACTGGCTCAATTACGTCAAGCTCTACAATGTCACCCATAACCGGCCGTAAGTGCTGTTATCCCATTTGACTTTGTGTACCTGTTTTTGTTTTATTAAGTCCTAATAATAGAAATCTACACTCCATTACGAAGCTTCTGTCTTTCCTATCTTGGATAAAAATAAGGTTAACCAAAAGGTTAAAAATAAGGTTTATAAAAAAAGTTTATACAGAGCTGGAATGACATTTAATTTATCCTGCATCCTGTATGGACATTTATTGTATGATTTTTTTTTAAATATAGCATTTCAGTGTTTCATATTTTTTGATACAGTGGAATCACCCCAGTTTGGTAATCAAAGTGCATGTATGGGGTAGAATGGCATACTGGCATCTGGTTAGATGAATACTGGCAGTAAATTTCCTGAGGAAAGCAAGTCACATTAGAAAAACTGTTCAAAACAATCTCAGTCGTTTACCTGCGAACCGCCAGTTGAGAAGCAGTTAGCAAGATAACTAACTACTAGCTAATGCCTGTTGTAGCAGCTGGATAATGTGGTTTGTAAGGATGACCAGGACATTGATGGACTATGATTCTTTTGTAGCTGGGAAGATGTGATGGCTGATGGGCAGGATCAGTGGTAATTTAACTGATGATGTAATCATTTTAGACTGGTCTGAGCCCAGCAGAAGTCGTCTCAGGTCTATCTACAAGTTCCTATATTTTAGTTATTGTTATAAGTGGTATATATACTGAAACTTTTTTTAATCTTTATATTTTTATCTTATTTTTTATAGGATTTAAGCTGCAGATGTCATTTAGCATGTTACGGAATTTCACAGAGGACTTAAAAGACCCCGCAACAATGATGTACAAAAATTTAAAAAATAACATCGAATCAGCAGTAAGTATCAGTAAAAAAACTACTGTACTGTACAACGTTATCATACCTACTGGTTTTATCTTAAACCAATAAAAGAAAAAATTAAATGAAATCACACAAATAAACATAATTTTTTAAATTTTGTGTCATATAGTTGAAGAAAATGTATGATATCACTCTAAATTATTTTATGCTTCCATTGTTAATGCTGTCTCATCCAGCTCTGTGAAAAATACAAATATATATCGGGGTTTATTCGAGTAGAGGTAACTAACTTCAGGTAAGTTTGCTCATTTATTTGTTTATTTTTACATTTATTTTCTTGAATCTTAGACTTGGAGACATATTACTACAGATTTTTATGGCTGATGAGCCTGTTCTGTTCTTTGTTTGCCTTTTTTTTTTAAACAGGCCTGGAAGTGTGATTACTGACTTCTTATTACAGACCAACCAACTGAATTCCACTGAAATCGCAACAGCAAATGATAAATTTGTGGCTGATCTTGTAACCAAAGGGTTTAATGCTGACTCTGATTCTTTTCAAGGAGTTCTTCATGGTAAGATGAAAGTGCTATGCCCTTAAAAATTAACTGTAAGAATGGACAGAATACAAAAAATGTTTATTCATAGATAACTAGATGTAGTGTAACTAAACATATACGTATATTTGTTTTCATTTTTACAATACAAAGTGAAGTTAAGAACATTACTTTAAAGGTTTTGACTGAAGTATTCAGTGTGTGTGTGTGTGTCCAGGGGGCTTTCCTCTGGATCCTTCCCACTCCTGAAAGACAATTTAATTTGGGTGTATTTCTCTCCGTGAATTGACATTAGTCATTTTGTCCATCTTCTCATTCATTTAGCTATATTTCTTGCTGTTCATTTTGATTACCATTTATTCTTATTATTGGAATGTGCTTGTCTGTATATACTGACAACATATTTCCTCCATTCTTCAAGGACCAGAACCTTTCACAAAGAACTATGAGATGATATATCCTGGTAACACCATGGAGCTGACATGCATGGTCCCAGAATCAATGCAAAAAGGAAGCGTGTCGTGGTTTGTGAATAATGTACCAGTGTATAATAATACAAAGTACACAATCACCAGCTCAACTCTAAAACTTACCGTTAAGGATATAAGCACTGATGACAGTGGTAAGTGGATCATTCATTTATTATCAATCCACCATCCATCCATACATCCATACATCCATCCTCCAACCAACAAGGAGTTTTTCTCAGGCAACACAGGAAAAACAACAGGGGTACATCCTGGAGAGATGCCAGTCCATCACAGAACATATTTACACACACCCTGTCAAACAGTACAGGTGACTAATTAATATGAGGAGACCATGAAAACAATGCAAATGGGATTCAAACTCCCAGCCCCAGTGGTGTCATGAGGCTTCCTGCCAACTGAGCCACAGGCTGACCTCCCCCCATTATATATTATTAAAAAGCTTAAAATATCCCAGTCGTGACTGAGTATTAATGCCACGGCGAAGAGCAATGCAACATGTTGGCTCTGTGACACATAAAAATCTGTAGCTCTATTGTTAAGAAAACTGTGATGGTGTAAACGGAGAGGACTGATGGTGAAATAACGCAACTACACTGATAGGGGCTCAGTCATCAGTTGCTTTCTAAATACCATCTTCTACCTTAATTGTAATACATAACTCTCTAATTATCACAAAAGGTAACAAAAAATTATTTCAATGAATGTTTCCAGCATCTGCGTGATTTTTGTAGAATTGCCCAATTTAAAATTATTGTCTGTAGATGATCAGCTGAAACATTAGCCTTCATTCATCCAACCATGTTCTAACTGATGTCCAGTGCAGGATTGCAGTGCCACTGCCTTCAATATGCCCATATTTACTAATTATTTTCAGACATTGTTATACATTCCAACAAATTACGATAAAAAGTTGGTACAGCTTTTTTGGAAAGCACATACACCTTACCACTACTGCCAAATATACTTATGCAAATAATTACTTTTTACAGGGTTGACACAGATGTTATAGCCTTTTGACCTTATTTCCTGTAAGTAAAAGTCATTTTCTTAATGGTTTTCCTCCTTTGAATCTCCTCAAAGGAACATACAGATGCAGCATGAAGGATACGATTTTGATTTTCCTCCATGAAGAACTCATTAAGGTGACGAATGTTGTCGCTCCAATGGTCAAACTCAGCAGATGGCAATTGAACAGCCCGTGTGACAGTACGGAAGAAATTAGCTTGGAGTGCTGTGTCACATACAACAATATCGATGACATTGAGGCCAAATGGATGGCCAGTGTTGAACTCTCAACCAATGGTAATATTTATTTAAAAGTGTCTTTCCGTGACTGTAAATAACCTTCAGTTTTATTTGCAGCGTGTTGCATTACTCTTATTGTTAAATGCAATTCTCTTATCTCATTCAGAAAAAGGTAAAACTAAGTCTTCCTCAAACTTGCTCATACAGAACATTCTGCTTGAGCTTGTATGACAGAAATTGAACTGGATAATTCATACCCCCCCCCCCAATTTATATTTAACTGCAGATTATGAATGTTGTTGAGTAGCTAAAGGCAACTTAATAAGTTACCAATCAGAATGTATATTTCCAGGTTTTCAATACCTGGTCTAGATGATGGATCAGTGTTGGGATATTTGTGCATCTGCATGTACCAATAGCAGTTATATATGCTCTTTTCACAGTTCACCCTGAAAGCAACATAAAATGTTTTGTCCATTCTTTTAACACTGAACAAGGAAAATGTGACCCAAAAACTTTTACCTGCCAAGTAAAAAACAGAGGAAAAATCATCAATGAAATGAAGGCCACAGTGAACTTTTTCTCAGGAGGCAAGTTTTTGATATGTTGGTTTTGGGAATAACTACTGACTCGCAATGAATCCATTAACAGAAATCTGTTCCAGAAAATGCAAAAGTCAAAATCAAAAGTTGCTCATAAAATATGATTTTGATTTCCAAATCTGAGTGAGCCTCTTTCCCCTGTGTTCCCCATGGTGTAGCACTAACGAGCCACACCTGTTCCTCGTTTAACCCCGCCTCTCGTTTCGGCACTCGTGTGGATGATCCCCAGGTGTCTCTCGTCTGCTCCCTCATCTGTGGTATATATAGTGCCTCCTTGTCCTGAGCTCCCCAGTTCGGTCATTGTATTGTTGTGTGTGTGTGGTCCTGCTGCTTCTCTGTGCTACCCTTCTGATTACCCTGCCCCCTGTGTTTCCCCCCTGCTCTCCCAGCCTGGTTTTGACCCCTTGCAGTCTGTTTCCTTTTGCCCTTTCTATTGTATTTTGTTGGAATAAAACCCCTTCCACTTTCCCCAACACCTGCCTTCGCCTCCCTCCTTCCCGGGTTGTGATGGTGATCGTATATCTGTTGAAAATTGTACACGTCCCTCTAAGAGTAGAGTAACAGAATCTTCTGGTTTTTAGAAAAAAAACCAGAAGCCATTTGTTGTTACATAACCACCTCTGCATTTGTTCTGTCCATGTAGCGTTTCGCTGAGTGTTAACTTCTTCCATCTGCTCCAGCACCAGAGTGTAACAGCATTCCCTATGGTTCTGGGAAGGAAGGAGACACAGCTGTTGTGTGCTGCAGGGAAAACTTTGAAGGCACCGTAACAGCAAGATGTTTACAAGGAGTTTGGGTGATTGTAGCTGATAACTGCATTTTGAGTGAAATTATCAGACTACAGAATGTATCCAAGGTAATACAGTTAAAATTAAGATAACTGATGTATTAAATTATATGTGTGACCAGCATGAAGTATAGCATCTTTCCAGTGTTAATAGTGGTATTTTTTCAGTGTAAAACTACTTTTTCTATCTGATTAACTGCATTTTTTATTTTTTTTATTTTATAATACAGTAAAACCTCGGATTGTGAGTAACTTGGTTTGCGAGTGTCTTGCTAGATGAGCAAAAATTTGATAAATGAGCAAAGTCTTGCAATACGAGTATTATGTATATGCTTTGTCTGCCGAGCGTCACGTAATCATACCTGAGCCAATGGTTCTTCTCTCTCTCTTACGCTGCTGGATTGTGGGTAACCATTTCCCATGCTCGGTGTCAGTCAGCGTGCCTCACTCGTATAGTCAAAATTTAGTAGAAAAGCACTACAAAAAAGGGCTACAAAATAACCCTCCTCTTCTCCTCTCTCTCATCTCCCTCACACCATCCATGATTCTTTTCAATGGTAAAGTGCAGGTTAATTTGTTTTATGTATTTTTACTTTATATTTTGTATTAATCATTTTATATGAATATTTTTTGGGTTGTGGAATGAATCATCTGAGTTTCCATTATTTCTAATGGGAAAATTCGCTTTGATATTCGAGTGCTTTGGATTACAAGCACGTTTCCGGAATGAATTATGTTCGCAGTCTGAGGTTTTACTGTATTTATGACATATGAACGATCAGTGAAATTTATATTTATAATGGATATGTTTATACTTGGGGTGTCACGGTGGTGCAGTGGTTAACACTGTTGTCTCACTGTTGTCTCCACCAAGTTTGTATGTTCTCCCTGTGTCATTATGGGGTTTCCTCCAGCTACTGAAGTTTCCTCCCACAGGCTGAAGACATGCTGAGGCTCATTGGAGTTACCGAATTGCCCATAACATGGTTATGTGAGTGAATGGTGTGTGATTGTGCCCTGCGATGGGTTGGCGCCCCATCCTGGGTTGTTCTCTGCCTTGCGGCCATAGTCTCTGGGATCGGATGGACTGTGCTGCCTGGACATGGCAAGATGTTTAGAATCCATCCCTGTAGAGCCACATCCCAGCTGGCATCAGTGCACACACTTCCACAAAAAAGCTCCATCATTTTTGAATGTCCTCTTTTCTTTGCTCCTCTATTTCTCCCTGAAGAACCTCAATGAGATAACTGTACCAGTGTTTTTGGAAGAACTGAAAAACACCACAGAAAACCTTCAAAACGAAATAGAGAATTCAACTGCCACTATTTCTGCTATTGTCGACATTCTGAGCAGAATTTCTGCCATTACACAAACCATCAACAGTGACGTGATGACAGTAAGTGGAACTTAATACGTTTTGGGGATATAAGGGCAGATACATCTAAAGAGAAAACTGGATGGTTTCATTCAAAAGAGAAATGAAAAAATTTCATATTACATGAAATATGTTAAATCAGTTTTTATTTTTCAAGGAAAAAATCCTATTAAATTTCACTCAGCTTTTTGTGTTTTTTTTTCCAGAATGTTTTGAAAACAGTGACAATTTTAGTTTCAGACCAATCTGACAAATCCTGGGCAGAACTGAACAGCGATACCAAAACCCAAAATACAAGCTCTGCTTTGCTGGAATCAGTAGAAAAAATTGCAGAAAATCTTTTAAGTGACTCCTTTAAAATAAGTACAAAAAACATTGAGTTAAGCAAAACAACATTTACAAGCACTTTCAGTACAAGTTTGAACTCATCTCAGATATTCATCCCAAGACAAGGTCTTCCCATCAACACGGGTATCACAGTTATCGTCTTTACGACTCTTGAGTTTGTCTTACCTCCACGGAGCACTGGAAACAGAAAGAATGACTCCATCAATGGAATTGTCATGTTAGTTTATGTAAATGAAACCATTAATAACATTTCAATGACGTTCGACAAAATAAGTAAAACAAAAGGAAACAACCAGTGTGTTTTTTGGAACTTCAAACTTTTTCAAGGCATTGGAGGCTGGGACGCTACTGGATGTGAACTGCAATCTGAAACGAATGACAGCATCACCTGTTCCTGTAACCACCTGACTTCCTTTTCGATGTTAATGTCACCTTTTGTACCTGAATCCATTGAGGATGCTCTAAATTACATCACGTACTTTGGAGTCGGCATATCAATGGGATGTCTGGTCTTATGCCTTATAATTGAAGCATTTGTATGGAGAGTTGTCACTAAGAACAGCACGTCACACATGCGACACGTCGCTATAGTGAACATTGCTCTGTCTCTGCTGATTGCTGACATATGGTTCATCATTGGAGCAGCAGTGTCAAACGTAGGCCAGAGCACACCGGAGAAAGCATGCAGTGCTGCAACCTTCTTCATTCATTTCTTTTACCTTGCCTTGTTCTTCTGGATGCTGATCTCAGCTCTCTTCCTCTTCTACCGTACCATGATGGTTTTCTCCCGCATGTCAAAGCGCACTATGATGGCCATTGCCTTCACGGTGGGTTACGGAGCACCACTCATCATTGCTATAATCACCATTGCAGTCACTGCTCCCAAAAATGGCTACTTTAGGCAAGATGATGCATGTTGGCTGAACTGGTACCAGACTGATGCCCTCTTGTCATTTGTGATTCCGGCCTTGATCATTGTTGTTGTGAACCTGTTGATTCTAATTGTGGTTCTATATAAACTACTGATGAGGGGTGTTGGTGAGAACCGTCAGTCTGAGGAGAAGAATGCTCTGGTGGTCATCGCAAGGTGTGTCGCTGTTTTGACTCCCATCTTTGGCATCACCTGGGGACTTGGCGTAGGGACCATGGTGGCACCTGCTAATCCCGGAGTCCACATTGCATTTTCAGTCCTCAATTCACTTCAGGTATGAATAATGGGTAATGTAATTTTGTTCCACAGCTTTTATATATTCAGTCTTCTGTAATTTGAGTCTATTGACATACACTACAACTACTAAATTTAATTGATCAAGGTTATTACTCTTAACACTTTCACCTGAATCTACTGATCCTCTTTGTGTTGCTAATAAGTCCAGAAATGCACAATCATTCTTGCCACCTGTACATAAGACATACTTTTTAATATTTACATTTTCAAGGGATTCTTCATTTTAATATTTGGGACTCTCCTAGACAGCAGTGTAAGTATTGACATTTTTTCCCCATAAATGCAATTTTTGTGCTAATTCAGTGACTGTTATAGTTAATTAAGTTTTGCGACCTTGCCAGTCCATGTTTGTTTCGTTGCATACAGGTTCGAACAGCCATCATGGGAAAAATTTTGTTTCTGCCAAAAACATGTAACAGAATAAGGGTATGTGCTCATTTGTACTTTTAAACAATACTTGCATAGCAAAGTTTTACCTAAAATTAAATGTAGCTTTACATTTCCTGTAGCTGCCTATAAAAAAATCACATTCATGAGGAAGATTTTTTGCAAAAATATCTACATATTTGTTTTGTTTTGAATGTAACAGATTAATTGTGGCCAACTGTGACATTTTCTTTTTCAAAAAAATTGTAATGCATGTTATTTGTTATATAGAGTACAGGTGCAGGTGCATCCTCTTGGGCTGCCCATTTTAGAAGAGGAAGAAAAAGTGAGCAACCATGTACATTCTGTTCTCAACACTTGTGTGTACAACGTTTTTAAAAATGGAGATATTTTAGATGAAAACAGTCTGATAGTTCAATGATGAACATTTGGTCATGTGAGATGCATTTACATGCTTATTAATGAATGGAAAATTTGCTTTGCTGTTTACCTGTAAAGTATTGAAAACTTTATATAAAAATATTTGTATCAATGTATTTTCAGACTTCTACAATGTTTCAGAAGCTACAAGTTCAAGCCAGTCATCAGAATCATTCATTAATTTGTAAATATTTCTGAGGTATTTGAGTATTTGAAAATCAAAATTTTAAAACAATGTCTCTGTAGTGTCATTGTAGATGGTAGTGTAACTTATTAAACTATTATGAAATAGGCTGAGATTTAAATGTTTATGCTATGTAATGATCCATTGATGCTTGTAAATTGAAATACAAATTAAGGACTGAATGTTCTTAATTTGCTAACATACAACACTCTCAAGTGGTTGAATAGATGTGACTGTTTGAGTGAATGCAAAATTTGCTTAAAGACAAATCAGTTTTTTTGTACTTTTCAACTTATATCCTGGAAAGAGTTTAGCTTTGAGAAAATGTGATGAAGAATATTAGGTTTAAAGTTATGTTTTTTTTATTTTATTAATTTAGATTAAGTTTATTCATTTAGGGGCTGTGCAACATTAAACATAATAAATAAACCAATTTTATGGTCATGCATAAATGTGCAAATTACCATTCTTAAAAGTATATTTTTCTTTTTAGTTTCTTAGTACTTTGGTAATTTGACTGTTTAGTTATGAAACTTTGCAGCTGAAACAGTGGTTGAAAAGCATTGCTGTTTATTGTTAAAGAATCATTCATACACCTCCATTAACAGGCCCTGCTGTTAGTTTTGTTCTGCTTTCTTAAATAAAAGTTACAAGAACGACATTAAGTGTATGAGTTTTTTAAGGGTTGGCATGGGATGGGCGTCGGAGGTATGGTCTATTGATGGTTGTCCTGATCACATAATTATGGTGAGGCAGTGATTCTTTTCAACAATCTAACATCAGGTCTTGTGTAAGTAGCTGTTATAGTATATTCAGTATTTCATTTATTTTAGGGTCTGTTGTCAAACATCTTATTTCAGTTATTCTAATGATAAAACTTTACAAGCTCAATTGATATCAGAAAATATGATCTCTAAATAGATATTTCCTCATTCACATTGCATAATGTATGTCAGCCATATGTTCATTTAGGATTTTTTGGGGAACAGGAGGTGATGTTACTTGTCAAGAGCTGGTTTATAAGAAAGCCTTTGTGTAAGAAATAGCATATCATTCATCATATATTGTAGTACTCTATTTTTAGATAATTCACCAACTATAGCCTGATTTAGAGAATGTGGCAAAACGGTTCATATTGTTTGATGGCATCTAACTAAAGCTTCATAGCTTATTAATTTCTAACAAACAAACCACCGAGATGGTGATGTATTATTGTTTATTTTCTATTCAGTATTAATCCAAAATGGACAGAAATTAATGGCATGTTTTGTGATCTTTACCTGTAGCATGTGAGAGAACAGTTATCATTTCTTATCTGCATTGCTGTATCTTTTATCACAGTCATAAGTGGTCAAAGGATGGATACGTAACATTGATGTTATTATTGATGCCGAAATTTATTCAATGACATGCAGCCCAAACTCCAGCCTCTTTCAAAATGACACTGTTCAGTCTCTTTTGTGTGGTGGGACTCAGTTCACTTTCATCCACATGCACGGTATTAAGGAGTGAAAGTTTTATATCTTATGTACAAATAAAGTGTCACATTGTTGTAAAATAAAATAAGTACCGGCGTGCGGGCGAGAGAGCGGTAAAATGCGGGTAGAACGGGGTTTAATTGTGCAGACGCGTAGGTAATGAGGGGGCGTGGCACACACGAGGATCGTACGAGCAGGTCATGACACAAATGTATTTACTTTCCATCAAATGTTGATTAATGATACACTTCAAAGATATTGTGAGAAGTGTAATCAGTGTTTACTTGCCTTGATAAAAATGCTATGAATGATACTTTCCTGTGTATTTTCCTATGTAATTCTGCAACGTTATACTGACATTTATGTCATGTTTTATTACCTTGTATATACTGTACTTTAGGGTTTGCAAACTACCCCAACGATTTTGACGTAGCTATTTTTCGGTTTATAATAGAATAGTATAGATTTGCCATAGGATTTCTTGCCTGAGCGCAAGTCTGAACACGTGAGTGTCACGGGAGATGCGTGAGAGCTGGCAGCCCTGTGAATAAATAAAGTCCATGGTTGAGTAATACATCCCAGATAGCAAAATGACTCCGCGCCGGATCCGCGCCAGACGTATCACGAGCTCCGGAACAGATCCGCACAACAGGTCCGGAACAGAGTCCACTTGCACAACGGGACGGATCCGGAACAGCTAAAAATCACGGATTCAAACCGGATCCGGTACAGACTCGCCCCATATCCGCCAATATATTGATTCATTTAAAAAATGAGACTTCAAATTGTACAAACATAATTTATTTAAGAATCAGAACTTCATATTTAAACATATAACATAGCTTTATTTTAACAACAAAAACAATCACTGGGCACTCAGACATTTTGAGGCACAGGCACAGTCTTCCTATTCATTTTATCTAAAAGAAATATACAACACAAAAGACATGTTCATGTTGTACGTCAAGGAATGCTGGCAGCATCGTTTGATATATTTCAGGCTAATGTACGTGCTAAATCACGACCAGTTTACCACACTGTACGTAAATTAACTTACATTTTAAACAAATTTTAAAGCAAAAAGTCGCGTTCAGTTGTTTAATTATTACCGCCACAATCTGTGGCTGATCCCATGCAGTTTCGGAGCGGTCACGATACCCAATTCCTCCTCACAGAGATTCAGCTACCTCCCCTTAGCCAATTATGTTAGCGTTAACGTACCTGTCTGATAATGTAGCGGCCCGTTTACCAATTTGAACTTTAAAAATGTATTTTAATGAAGTTGATGTTACGTTTAGTTAAGTTATTTAAGTAATAATTAAGTAACTTTAAGTATATTTAACGGCATTTACTTCACTGCGTTTGTGCCTGCAGATGAATCTTCAGTGAAGCTTCAAAATGAAAAACGCGCGTTAGGTGTGTTGATCCGCCCAGCCTCTGTAACGAGTCCGTGTTTGGACTGGGTGTTTTCTGTGGGCGGGGCCTCACTCTGGCAGGTTAATAAAATTGAATGCGACTGTCAGGCGGATCTGCCGACTTGAGGGCGGATCCGCCCCGCAGTCCGCTGCTATCTGGGATGCTTGTAATTGCCATTAAAGAATACAATTTATGACAGCCTGGATGCAATGCTCTTGTGGTTGCAGGAATTAAGCTGGTGGAAATTCCCAATACCTTACATATGCATACATAGTGAGATGAGACAGCATTTCTCTATGGACAGTGATGCAACATACAACAACATATAACAAGATACAATACAATGTGCGCCAGGACAAAAGAACACTAAACAGTGTAACACTATACAATAGGGCTTGCTGTACAGAAATTTAATATATAACTAGCATAATGAACAGCATGTTGGCCGTCAATTATTGCACAAATGGAAATATTAGCAGCTTTTGTTGAGTGTTATAGGTATAGTGCATGTGCCATTGAGATTATAATGGATCTATTGGGAACTGTCACGCCCACTCGGGCGGGACCAAGCACATACGGGCGATCAACACCTGATCGCTCCACTATTTAACACCGGCGTAGCATGCAGTGCGATGTATTGTTGCCATTTCCTAATGCGCCGTACAGTACCAAGCACTTTCTTTGTCTTGTGTCCTCCCGGTTTGTCCTACCCGCTGTCTCCTGCCTGCCCGTCCTGCCTGCCCTGTCCTGATCCGCTCCCTCATCGGTCCCGTTCCTCCCGTCCCATCGGAACTCCGTCTCGTCCGTCTGTGTAGGACTGATCCCCCCGGCTCCCGACCAACGCCTGTGACCCGACCACGATTTTGGAACATCCCTTTCGCACTGTCTGCTCCCGGCTTGTTAAATAAACAAGTTTGCTTCCGCATTCCGGGGTCTGCCTCCTCCGTTATAGCCTGTCATTACAGGAACCACTCAATGAGGTAGTGTACTGGAATGCATTTGACTAGGCAGAGACTTTAACATACATGAACGTTAAAAATTCTGACTTAAAGGCAAGGTTATATGACTAGCCAGTAAGCTACCATGTAATCTGTCCTTATCTTTCCAAGATATAAGCAAAGGAAGAATGCTGACAAGTATGAGATCACAGAGCAGTACCAGCCTCTGCCAGCATGGCAAAGTGAGAAGGGTTACATAAAAAAATCGCCTCTGGTAAGAATTATTGCCTGGAAAAACTAAAGTCCAAAGTATCATCTAGCCCCTAGATTTATGGCAATGTTTGGAGTCTCAGAGAAAGGTGTCTTGTATTGCTGGATCTAAGATGGGCTCCTTCAGCTCGCCGTTAATGACGATAGTTTTCATCACTCTGCTCTGTCACCTAGAGGTGTGTTACCTTTCAAGGAATTTTAATTTTAAATTCGTGTTTTTAACCTGAATTTTTTGTTCTTTGTGTGTGTATAGAATGTAAATTGTCTCTTTTTTAATATTGTAGGTGCATGCCATTCCAGCTGTTTTTGGTATGAAAAACTGTTTGGACATTACATTATGCAGCTTGAATCCCATAACAGTAACAGTTATAAGCATTAAATGATCTAAAATGATTATATACATAAGTATATTATATTTTAAAAATATTCAGGTTTTTTTTTTTTTGATGAATAGGAAATGATGTTGATTCTGGAGAGCTTCGAGAAGATATTCTGGAAATCAATCTTGGTAATGTTTCCTCTGTTTTTACCAGCTGTTAACTTGATTAATTTGGTAAATTAGGTATTAAAGCAAATGTATTGAAATGCATGAAGCGTCTTCTGCGTTGAAAAAACACATGCCAAGCTGGATTCTCCTGTTACAGAATCGGAAAGAGCATTGTTTGAAGGGGATATTGCAGGTGATGTAAGTGATCCTTTCAAAATGAATAAATATATGTGCATGTAGACAATACTGGAGGAGCTTTATGTCTGTTTTTGTTTTCATAGCCAAAAAGAAATGCACTTCTGGATGAGACATCAAGGTGGAAGTTTCCGATTCCCTACATTTTAACAGACTCTTTGGGTATGAATAATATTTCGAAAACACATTGCTGTATTAAAAAGAAATAACAAAACTAAAGAAATGCACTTTTCATGATTTTTGGTTACATGAGATGATTGCTTTTCATGTTTTTTGTTCATTCTGTACATTTTTTAGATTTGAATGCAAAAGGTGTGATTCTTCAAGCATTTGAGACGTATCGCCTGAAATCCTGTGTGGACTTCAAGCCCTACAATGGAGAGGAGACCTACCTTTCCTTCACCAAGCTGGATGGGTAACCATTTATGGAATCAGTGACTTTATGGCATCATTTAACTACAAAGTCTTTAGGATAACAGATAAGATTATGATGAGCTAAGGCTGGTCATGGTATTGTTTTAAAAAAAAAATTCACGGTGCCCTACCATATGTATCCTATATCTAAATATTTTCTAAATTTGTCATGCCAGACTACCAGTCTTCACACACTGTATTTTTACATTTAAAAATATATTGTTGCTTTGCAATGCAATGCACGGTGTCTTGAAAAAGTATTCAGGCCCAAATCCAGTACTCCACCACTCACAACTGTTTTAGAAAGTGCTCTTTTTGGACAAGTGTCTATTTTGCACAACATGAGAAATATTTGAACATTTCAAATATGCTATGCTAAGCATATTTGCATATGCTAAGCTATGTCAGGTTAATGAGGGAGTGGGGGACAGACAGCAACTTTTAGGTCTCACCACAAACATTTCATGAGTCACGCCTGGAAAGAGGGACGATCTGAAGAGCTGCATTCTGATATCATAGAGGCTTTATTGAACACCAAGCATTAAACCATGCAAGAAACAAAACAACAACACCAAATTTATGTTTGTATAGCATGTTGTCACAACATTACATCGTCTCAAAGTGCTTTACAGCATCCCCGCCCAAAGCCCCCCAGTGAGTAAGCCATAGGCGACAGTGGCAAGGAAAAACTCCAGAGAAGGAGTTAAAACCTTGGGAGGGACCAGACTCAAAGCGGGAGCCCATCCTCCAGGGTTCGGCAGGGAGAGTCAAATTGGAGAGATGGCTAAATGCCAAGTCACACTGCCTAAGTCATAAGATGCAACGTACAACCGGGGAGCAGGGAGGTGATGACAAGCCGGTGCCGACGCTCCGTCAGATCACCAGGCAACCAGTAGTAAGCAGCGGGTCATACATGGAGGATGACACAGGCAGAACGGCAAGCTGGATGCAAGGACGTCATGGGTAGTGGCGACATCACATGTAGCCGGGTGTGCTGGATATCTTGATAGATTCTGATCTCCAGGCAGCACATCCCAGGAGGAGCAGGGGAAATAAAATGTGCAATTAGTAGAAGTAGGGGAGACTATAGGCAGTGCTAACAGTTAGGTGAGTGCAATATGAAGTGCAATGTGCAAGCTCCAGCAGATATGGCTATGGCAGCATAAGTAGGAGGGAGAGGCAAGTGGGAATGCAGGCATGGGGAGTCCCTGAAATATTAGCACTCCAATTCCACAAGGGGGCGAGAAGCTAGAGTTACAGCACTGATAGCTCAGTTTATCCAAAGCCAATGGCACCGATCCCCCCCCAGCTCTACACCTCACACTATAGGTCTAACTGGGAGTGAGGAGTTAGCTAGAGCTAGAACTAGTGTCCCTATAAGCTAAACTAAACAGGTGTGTTTTTAGTTTAGACTTGAATATTGAGAGTGAGCCTGAATCCCGCACATTCGGTGGAAGACCGTTCCACGGCAGAGGAGCTCTATAGGAAAAAGCTCTGCAGCCTGCCCTAGGTACTAACAGATATTCTGCGCCCTGAAAGGACCACGAGGGGTCAAAATACAGGCAGGAGGGTGATTTTAAACTTACAGGGGCTGGAACTTAACAAACAGGGAGCTACAAAGAAAACAAAACTACAATGCAGAAATGGATAGCCAAAACATGATGGGACTGGCAAGGGCAGGTCTTCAAGTCATTCCGTAAATCTGCGGCAGCATCCTCTGCATGTTTCATCACTAGCAAGCACCCCCCCCCCCCCACCCCAACCTACCTGACGCTCAACACGTGGCTCAGATGTTATCAGTCAAAATACATATCTGTTATCTGTAGCTCACTACTTACAATATGATCATTACTGAAGTGGAACTGTCACATGAAAGGGCACACTCCTGCTTTTTAGCAAAATGTATATACACATAACACATCGACACATAACCCTCATTTGCTCTTTATTATCATAACTGTTTTTCCCCCCTCTTTCTGTCAAGTGATCCTGTCCTTTATTGATGCAGCAGAGGAGGATTATGGGAGCACTTGGTTTGTTGCAATGGTTCTCTTGGCTAATGTTACTAGTCATATCATAATATAGTAAATAAAAAAGATTGACTTGTAATCAAATTTAGAAATGCATTCTTGTAATGATTCTTCTATTGGTCACTTTGAAGTGCTTATTTTTTCTATGAATAAAAAAACCCTTCATTTTCTTCAGGAAGTAACATTTTAATATTTACATTAACAGATGTTGGTCATTTGTGGGGGACTTACATGAGGGCCAGAATGTCTCAATTGGTGACAGATGTGACACCAGGGCAATTGTTGAACATGAGCTTCTTCATGCCCTGGGGTTTTACCATGAACAGTCGAGGTCTGATCGGGATGACTACGTGAAAATCTGGTGGGACCAAATCATACCTGGTGGGTGCTATTCCAAACCCAAATTCTGCATTTGACAAAGTGACGCACAAAGAAAAGCAATCTCAACATCCAGTTTCTGATAATGTTTGGATGACAAATGTAATCTTTTGCAGGGAAGGAACACAACTTTAACAAGTATGCAGATGACGTCATCACTGACCTGAACACGCCATATGATTATGAGTCAATAATGCATTACAGGCCACTGTCCTTCAACAAGAATGCCACTGTGCCTACCATCACTACTACCATCCAGGCATTCAGTGACATAATTGGACAACGCCTAGACTTCAGTGCCATCGACCTGGTCAAACTGAATCGCATGTACAACTGCAGTGAGTAGCAATTCACATGAATTGGTCATGAAAAGACTGGAATTGTTTCTGCCTTTGGATGGTCATGTGTCTTAGCATGTGCAATCATGCTATAATTAAACTAGCATGTTCACCATCACTGCTACCTGTGTCTTTAATCAGTCATCTTTCATTGTACATTTACACTGTTTATCATGTTCCTTTACTGCCATGATCTGTACACATGTCTATCATGTCACCTTTATGTAGACATTGTTCCCATGTACATTTGCATTGCTGTATTGGCTCACTCATTTTCCAGCTGATACATATACCTTGCTGGACCAGTGTTCATTTGAACTGATAAACATCTGTGGCATGATCCAGAATGAGCAAGATGATGCAGACTGGGTTCAAACTCTAAGCAGCCCAGGGACAGAAGACCAAACCCTTGTGGGTCAGTGTAAAGGTAAGACAGACATTCAGACAATAAAAGGCAGGGGAATTTGTTTCCGAGGCATTATGAATCACAATAAGAAACGACTTTTTTCACAAATTTTGTGAAAATTTGTCTTTCTGCCATAAAAATATTAAACGTAAAATTTTGTAAATTTAACCATTCTTTATTTAGCAAATGAGTTCCATTCCAGTGACCAGGTTGTTGAGCAAAATGGTCGCTATGTGGAAATCATGGTAGCCAAAGCATGACCACGACTGTCCATTCGATTTTGCTTCAGCCTCTTAATACACAATTTCATTCTTCATTAAGTGAACATTTTAAATAACATTTTATACATTCTACTTCAAAATTCTCTCTTACTCTGGCATCCATTGTTGTGAGCGTATGAAATTTGGTGCGCACATGGGTTTTTATTAATTCCGTATTTGCAAATGGTTGCTAATCAAGTTAGTTGCAAAATGGTTAGTGTTTGCATAAGGTTAGTGGCCATAGTGCACCACGTGTAGCTGGTGTGAACAAAGCGATTCTCCAGCCAACCATATAACGTTAAATAAACATAATATTTGATAACGATAAGAAACCTCTATGTATTGCATTTATGTATTTACTTTACTGTACTTTTTATTATGTACTCTCTTTGTATTGCATCCATTAGTCTCATGAAGCTTGACTATTTAGGCAGTACTGGTACAGTAGAGGTACAGTATAGGTACAGTACAGGTACAGTATATCATAGTATTGGTTTGTATACAGTATATATGATGATCACATACTGTGCAAGTCACCTAACATCCTATTGGGCAAAATGCAACCTGGATGTTAAGCACACATACCTGTATATTGTTTCAGACTGAGGTTCCAAAACTGTCACATGTACTGTTTTAATATGTAACATGAGGCTTTGTTTCTTTAGCACCATAGTGTAATGTATTTAAAGGAATACAGGCCCTAAGTAGCCCAGGAATATTAGGACAATAGACAGAGTATGTGTAGCTGTTTTTGCAATCAGTTATTGGCTGAAATATTTTGTTTAGTGTTTTTTTCGTTTAACTCAGTTATGTTCTTTACACGTTTAGTCAGATCTGCCCCAGACTGAAACCAGTCCACATTTTTTTTGTAGACGCTGGCTATTTCATGTACTTTGACACCTCTGAAGCAGAAGTGGGAAAGAGCGCTATGCTGGAATCTCGTATCCTCTACCCCAAAAGAAACCAACAGTGCCTTCAGTTCTTTTACAAGATGACAGGAACCACTGCTGATAATCTGGTCATCTGGATGAAAACAGACGATGGGACTGGAAATGTCCGTAAAATGAAAAAAGTCTATACCATCCAAGGTGTTTCCAATTTCTTTTACTTCCTACTTTACTTTTGTGCCTACAGTTTAATTCACATAATATTCCAAATAGAAATAATAAAAAACAGTGCAACTTCTGTTGTGTTTATGCTTTGTATATTTACCTTAAAAACATTTTTTTACTGCTTTTCCATTGAAATGCATGTCTGCCATGTTGATTCTGGATTTTCATTCATGCTGGATAATGTTGTCTTTCAGGTGGTAGCAGTGAAACATGGAAAATTGCTCATGTGACCTTGAATGGAAAAGACAAATTCCGCTACATCTTCCAGGGCATAGTGGGATCAAACAAGATGGATGGTGGAATTTACATTGATGACATCTCCCTCACTGAAACCCCGTGTCCCAGTACCACCTGGCAGCTAAGCAACTTCACACACATTCTCCAAACCAGTCCTACTGGACACAACATCACAAGTGAACGGTTTTATAGTGCAGAGGGCTATGCCTATGGGGTTCGTGTCTACCCTAATGGCAAGGACAGCTCCACGCAGGGCTACCTAGGTGTATACTTCCATCTTTGCAGTGGGGAAAATGATGGGGTGCTGGAGTGGCCTGCACAGAACAGGCAGGTCACCGTCACTGCTATGGACCAAGACCCTGATGTGAAACTAAGAATGTCTTCCAGCAGGAGCTTTACAAGCGGTAATTTCCTGATCTCCCCGTAAGAAATAGGTTCTACAGTACCAGTCAAAAGTTTGGAAATGCCTACCGATAGAAAGATTTCTTTATACTATCCTTTACATTTTAGTATAAAGACATAAAAACTACAAAATAACATATATGGAATTATGGACTGGCCAAAAAACTTCAAACAATTCAATAGGATTTTAATTGTTGGGGGCAGAGTGATTCCACCATTGGGTACTTAAGCAAGGCCTTTTAACCCCAATTGCTCCAGGGACTGGATAACCCTACTGTCTCCTCTAAGGCAGTTTGATGAGGTGGCCAACCTGCGATGCCTTTCCAGCTGTCCATATATGCTGAGCACTCATAGGCCACTTTTCCTTCACATGCTGGTCAAACTCCTCCACACTACAGTGCTTCGGTCAGGTGGCCAGGTCATGTGATGTGATACTATTACTCTCCTTTGTAGACAGCTTGGTGTGTCCAAACTGTTGACTGGTACTGCACATTTTTTCAATGCAAAGTATTGTTTAATGCATTGATATTGGACTGACATTATTTAGCTGGGCGTGGCATCAGTGAGTATCATTTTCAATCCCACCTCTGAGTATGGAGTTTGCATGTTCTCCCTCAGGTTTACAGGGTACTCTGATTTTATTCTGCAGTCCAAAACATGCAATTAGGTTAAGAGGTATCTCCAAATTGCCTGTAATATATACTTGTCTGTATGCCCCATGGAATGGTATCCTGTTCAGGTACACCTGCCTTGTGTCACCTGAAATGCCCCCGCATCACCTGGACCAGAACAATCAGCTGGAAGATGGAGGCCTATTTAGTTGCTAGTTGTGTCCAAATTAAATTTAATTCAGGAACTTGAAATAGTATTAGTTTCATCTCAGCTGTAGACCGTATTAATATACACATTCTCTAATTAAAATTCATATATGTTAATAGCATGATGAACTTACGTAAGGTACTGTAACTGAATAGTACATAAACTGTAAACAGTAATAGGACTGTAGCTGTTTTATATCTGTATGGATCTCTGTGTTGTGTGTCAGAGGATGATTTTGCATTGGGAAGAACAACTGTGGATCTTTTTTAATGACCAGATAACACGTGGGTCAAACCAATCACTAACGGAGAGTGGGATGACTCCTGTGAGTGCTTCAGAAGTCAGGAATTTGGATGGAGCACCTTCATCTCACATCAGCAGCTACTGAGGAGAAATTTCCTTAAAAACAACAACCTTATACTGTCCATTGACTTTAATGGTAAATACCTTGTCTCAACACATTGCAATGAATTTAAAGTAATGGAAATGTGGAAAAAACATATTTATCTGTTTTTTTTAAGATTTGACAAAATTGATTAGGTCTGAAGTCCAGGTCAGTCTGAAATCTACTGAGACAGTGAAGGAGATCCAGGAAGGACCCGGCATATCTGACAGAAGCTTTGCTGAAACGCCCAAACTCCGTGTGGCCAGGTCGGCTTCGGGCAGCCCTTGTCAGCCTAATCCCTGTCGCAATGGAGGAGCTTGTGTAGACAGACATGGGAAAGCAGTCTGCAGGTTACCTGCCGCAGCCATAATACTGAGAATATTTTTTTAAATTTCCACTTAAAAAAATAAAAATAACAAATTTTGGCATTATTCAAATTGCACATTTCACTGCTAATAATGTATTTTGAGCAGTGAAGCTTTTGCACAGCTGAGAGCTAAACCTGACGTATTTTCCCATTCAGGTGTGCGTCTGGAAAGGCCATTTTCTACACTGGCATGAGCTGTGAGACACAGCGGATAAGTGGAGGTATGGCAGGCGTTCTGATTGGTGGAGTGGCAGGCGCTCTTGTTTTTGCTGTAATTATAACAGTAATTACGAGACGCCAAGCACATAAACCTGGACTCTAAGCTAACATATGCCCAAAGTCTAGCAACAGTTAGAAATGTCTATTTCATGTTGAGGTTGTATAGGTTTATTACTAGGCTTCTGACACTAAGGTCGAACATACCTTCATTTATTTCTTTTTATGTCCAAACAATTTATCGTCAGGTTCCCATGGTTTGTAACAGAAAACACATTGTTTACAAACTGCATAAGTCTCAAAAATTGTACATTTGGTATTTTTATTTGCTTTACTTTCCTACCATTTTTGCTATTACAAATATATTAATCTAAATATTTCATGGTTTTCACCAGTTTGCACTTCATAGAAATACCCTCATAATTTCATTTGATTTTATTCCCTAATATTCATGTATTCAGATATTATTTCCCTTCTAAGCATATTTGGATAGTACAGTACATAAGAGTTCTGACAAAATGGGCTATATCATGCATCATTGTATAATTCTATGGATAATTTCTTTGTCAAAAAATATATAATTGATTTTTGCCTTCATAACATGTAATAAAAAAACTTTTTATAAATGGTAATATGTTCATCTGGAGCATTGATCTGTAGTTGAGAAAGTGGTACATTTTTAGAAATAACACGATTCTATACATTAATAATGTTTTCAGATTTCTCTTGTTATTCATATAGAAATATGAAAAGAGACATTCAGACATTTGAATGGTAATCATTTTATTATGCATAATGTTACACAGCCCAAAATATGAAAAAGAAAATTGCTTATTTTATTGTTACTATATTACACTATTAAAATATGCTGAATAATGACCGCAATGAGATGAACAAGACAGAATTATACATATTTCATTGTACTTCATCAAGACGTTTCTTTTTGCAGAATTTCCATTTTAGAAATCTAGACAGAATAACATTGCTGCTAAAATAAGTGATTGAATAGTGTTTATGTTCACAGAAAAAATAGATAAATCTGTAACTGACAAAGTAATAAAAAAAACAAAACCCATATAAAATCCTATTTAATTAAGAGCTGGTGGGGGAAAAAAAATCTAAAAATCCTTTTATGTTATATGTTAAATCATTGTTATTATTTTTTAGCTATTATCTATTATATTTTGAAAAACCATTTCAGATATTCACAGCATCAGTTGACCAGCCAGGCAGCTAAGCACTGATAAACGCCTCAGAAGCCCTCAGACTTGTTGAAGAATCAGAAGCAAAAACATCTGAAAAATAAAGAGAATTGTTTGTTTTGCTCAAAATGGCAAATTACACAGATTATAGTTCACATGTAGCACCAGCATAACAAATGAGTTGTTTGCTAGAACCCAATGAAACTCTTTTATTAAACCCTGGTGTAAACGCAACATAAAAATATTTCAATGTCGTTATAAAGAAAAGCATCCTAATCAGAAAGCAGAGTATATCTCAATAAAAACATTTATAAAATAATACAGCAGAGCAGTTTAACTTACTTTGTCTCCTTCGCCTAAAACGTTCAGCCAAAGAGGACAAAGATGGACCAGCACTTGTGCTCTGTTAGAGAGACAAACCACACATCATTTATCATCTCTGATACTGGAAATTGCTAATTGTGTCATATTTACCTAAAGCCATACGATTTCTCAGTTAAATAGAATACTTGTTGTTCTGAAAATGTATTATATACAGTATCATTTATGGTTAAAAACATATCTGCTACCGGCCCCTTAAATTCCCTTGAAAAATTTTCTTTTTTTTTTGAAAAAAAAAATCATGGTGTAAGTGGTTTTGCGTGTCTGTGGAACATTTCAAATGAAAATGGGAAAAAAAAAAAATGATGCAAAAAGTGTCTGCTGAAAACTGCAATCGAGAGGCGGAATAGAAAGATGAACATACCCTTGTTCGGCTAGATAATGAACGCAAAAATGAAAATCTTCCAACAACTGCTGATCGAATCTGTGCACAAAGAAAAGGGATGTATGATGGTGGCTGGTACAATGTAACATGTGTTTGCGTTACAATGTATAATAATACACAGCCAACAATATTCCAAATACAATATTAGTACTTACTTTGCTGTCTAAAAGAGTCCCAAATACTAAAATGAAGAACCCCTTGAACAAAAGTAAAAAGAATTATTAGTATTTACTTCAAAACTTCAAAATAATTTCATTCTGAGAAATATTTTGTTATTCTACTTTTCAATATTGTTCTCTATCACGTTACAACTATGAGTGAATTATGAAAGTGTAGATCCAAAGAATTATCACAATGAAAAAAAGGCTGGTGAACTGGCTTTTTTGTTTGGGGGGTCGTCCACCAGAGGCTACCAAATCGCTCTCTGCCGTCATACCCAACACTTCCTGTTGTGGGTGCAGAGGTGTTTGCGTCAATGTGTGTGATGTGTGCTTGTATTTCTTTCTTTCCATTTTATGAGACTTAACAGGGTGAATGCTTTTTAAGTTAACTTTTCTCCTGTTTTGTTTAGGAAAGGGAGCTGCAGTTGTATAATACTTTTTGTTTCGCTTAGAGAGGTTGTTTTCATCTAGTTAGTACGATTTTTGGTTTGCTGTTTTGGCTTCACTGACCCCCCGAACACCTGGATTCCCTTGACTAAAATAAAACTCTTTTTGTTACTTATAATTAAACATTGCATGGTCTGACAGCTGGGAAGTGAGGGAATAGAAAACATTATTCATAACCTTTTCATTCTGACCTCCACTACACAAGTCATACCACATTTAAATTTGATACCAAATTTTATTTCAGAAAATAGAAACAGCAGAAAGTACCTAATTTTTACTCATACCTGAAGTGAATTGAAGATTGAAAATGTAATGTGGATTCCGGGATTTGCGGGTGCCACCATGGTCCCTATGCCAAGTCCCCAGGTGATGCCAAAGAAGGGAGTCAAAACGGCGACACACCTTGCGATGACCACCAGAGCATTCTTCTCCTCAGACTGACGGTTCTCACCAACACCCCTCATCAGTAGTTTAAACAGAATCACGATTAGAATGAACAGGTTCACAATGACAATAGTCAAGGCTGGAATCACAAATGCCAGGAGGGCCTTAGTCTGGTACCAGTTCAACCAACATGCATCATCTTGCCTGAAGTAGCCATTTTTGGGGGCGGTGACTGCAATGGTGATTATGGCAATGATGAGTGGTGCCCCGTAGCCCACTGAGAAGGCGATGGCCATCATAGTGCTCTTTGACATGTGGGAGAAAACCATCATGGTACGGTAGAAGAGGAAGAGAGCTGAGATCAGCATCCAGAAGAACAAGGCAAGATAAAAGAAGTGAATGAAGAAGGTTGCAGCACTGCATGCTTTCTCCGGTGTGCTCTGGCCTACGTTTGACACCGCTGCTCCAATGATGAACCATATGTTAGCAATCAGCAGAGACAGAGCAATGTTCACTACAGTGACGTGTCGCATGTGTGACGTGCTGTTCTTAGTGACAACTTTCCATACAAATGCTTCAATTATAAGGCATAAGACCAGACATCCCATTGATATGCCGACTCCAATGTACGTGATGTAATTCAGAGCAACCTCAATGGATTCAGGTACGAAAGGTGACATTAATATCGAAAAGGAAGTCAGGTGGTTACAGGAACAGGTGACACTGACATTCGTTTCAGAATCCAGTTGACATCCAGTAGAGTCCCAGCCTCCGGTGCCTTCAAAAAGTTTGAAGTTCCAAAAAACACACTGGTTGTTTCCCTTTGTTTTGTTTGTTTTATCAAATGTCAGCGAAACATTATTTATGGTTTCGTTTATATAGGCTAACATGACAATTCCATTGATGGAGTTATTCGTACTGTTTCCAGTGGTCCTTGCAGGTAAGACAAAGTCAAGAGTCGTAAAGACGATTGTTGTGATAGTCGTGTTGTTTGGAAGACCTTGACTTGGGATGAATACTTGAGATGAATTCAAGATTTCATTGAAAGGGAATGTTAATGTTGTTTTGATTAACTGAATGTTTGTTGTACTAATTGTAAAGGAATTGCTTGATAAACCATGTGTAATGTTTTCTATTGATTCCAGTAAAGTAGAGCTTGTGCTTTGGGTTCTGTTGTTACTGTTCAGTCCTGCCCAGGATTGCTGAGTTTGGGGTGACACCAAAATTGATACTGTTTCCAAAACATCCTACAAAAAAGAAAAAAAAACAGAATATAGATGGATAAAATGTAATAATTATATCAAACAGTAGACATGATTTTAGGATTTAGGGTATACTTTTTTCCTGGAATATTTTTCTCAATCTGAAGTTCAGATGTTATAGCTGATAAACAGTATCTTTTTAATTAGACCTTGAAATCATATTTTTATTAAACAACACAACAGAGCATATTTGTAAGTAAGATGGTGCTAATTGTTAAATTAATAATGTATGGTCATTACAAAACAAATAACTAAGAAAGTCTAAACCTTAAGTTCCAATACGATCCCCCCCACACACACACATTGGCATTTCAACATACTTGCATTGAAGTTTTGCTTAAATTTTCTGAAACTTTTGCAGTGTTGTCAAGTATGTTCACAATAGAGGAAATGGTGGCTGATGACTGTGTTATGCTTGATTTAAAACTGGTAGTGGTTGTCTTAAGGTCATTCACAAATGATGATACATTAGTTGAACTCAGATTCTGTGGACAGGTAAACAAGAATTAAAAATGAACAGAAGAATTTTAGACAGATTTTTTTTTAAACAAATGTTCTTACCAAGATACCAAGTACCAATGCTTTGAAATAGTCAGTAATTTCCAATTAATTGTGTACAAATAGTATGATTTGTTGAAAACAACACAGACTTACAAATTGCTAACTCACTCTGAATTTGTTGATAATGAACACATTGTAATTTTTCTATAATTTATATCTAGAATTTTATATGATTTTAAGTTTTATGATTTGATGACAGATAACAGATAAGCAAGTGGTCTAACACGTGGTCTAACAATATAGCTAGTTCCTTTAAACTGAGTTTTAGACAAAACATCAAGGTCTTTCCCTATAAATAGTTTCCTTGAAATGCAATATATAATGTAAGCTTAACCTATATGAAATGACACGGTGGCTGAGTGGATAGTACTGCTACTTCACATCTACAGGGCTGGGAAATCAAATCACATCTACGCCCTGTGTGTGTGGAGTCTGCATGTTCTCCTTATCGCTGTATTATCATGCATGATGTGTGGAAACATATTGTAGTTCTTCAGAATGACACAATGTATATATGATTAATGTACTGTATCACCTTATACTGGCTAAGCAGTATGACAACAGGTGGGTGGATGGATGATTAGTATTCAAAATGTGCTACCTCAGAAAACAACGCTAGTGTCACTATTGGGCTGAAGACACAATTGTCCTCCTGAAGGTTCCAATTCCCATTTTCACAAACTGCAGTCCTGTTTCCTGTAAAACTGGCTGGGCAAAGCACAGTAGCCGTATTTCCATTCATACCAGCACCGTATGTTGTGTCATCACAGTTAGTCGCTAGAATAAATAAATGTGAAGTTGGATTAGTGCTTTAAGTTGAAAAGCAAACACATGCGTCGCACTGTGCATTTTTAACAAAGGGAATGAAAATTAATTTTGAATAGGGCTGCATTCTGAATAGGGCCTCTTGTTTTTAAACACTCATTAACCTCGTACCTCCACTGAAAAACATTAGCGTTACATCATCTGTGAATGTTTGAGTTGTAGATGCTTTCTTGACAATCACTTGGCATGTGAGTTCCTTTGTATTGCATTGCTTTGGTACTGGGTATGCAGCACTGACACATAGCATGTTTGTTGTGGTCTGTACTGTAAAATGAAAAACATCAAATGTACAATATTCAGCTGCAATGTTCAACAGATCGAATATTCAAACTGGATATTAAATCAATTTAATCTTTTAAAGAAAATGATGCATACACTAATATCAAATAATTACTGCTTATGTAAATTATATATCTGTAGGACAATGTACAGGAACTTGACAAAGGACAATAAAACATATTGTAAAATAAATTAGACATTTATTTTAAGTAATAAAAATTACCAGAGGGTATTTCGACAGAACCGTCCATCCATTTTGCTGTAATGTTTTTAATTAGGTAGTATGTAACACAACACTCCAATGGGATATTTTCATTTGCTCCACATGGAACATTAGTTGCTAACATGTTCAGCTGAATAATGGGAGGAACAACATCTGTCACTGAAATGGATTCCGTGCGGGTGAATGTCAAGGTCGACTGAGTCATTGTGAACGTGTATATTCCTAGATTATAAAGAGAAAAACAACGGCAAAAAACATGGATATTATTCACAATTGACAGCAGGATAAAAGTATTACCAAGCACCTTAGCCAAGGAGCTCATTTATAAAATATAAATTTCAACTTTTCACATTGATGTATTCCTGAATGTCAGGTTTCCAAACCAGCTTTTTATTTCATAATGCTTCTTTTCATAATAATGGTGCACTCTGTCAGTCACTTTCAGGGGGGTGGAATTGAGCTTGTGATTGGATAAAGGTCTCTCGAGGAAACATTGGTTGAAATTTTTCCCAAATTTTGAGTTTAAGTGGTTATGATTAAAAGGTGAAATATCAATATAATGCAGTACAGATTGAACCCTTGAATAGATTAGCATTAGTCTGTTTATCTTAGTACTGAAAGACCTTTTTTACATGTGCATGTGTTGACACAGTACTAAAATGCATATCTACACGGGTTTTTTAAACAGGAATGTTTACTGTGTCTAGTGGGTGAAAAATGCCATATGGAGACAAATAGAGGGGAAAATGCCATGTGAAGGTATTCGTAGAAAAGTTGGTTCATAGAACTGTCATTGAGAAATACAGCTGCAGAAAAAATTAAGAGACCACAGCACAATTTTTTCTCTCATTTCTCAATTTATGGGTGTGCATCTGTGAATAATGGTTTTTTTTATTTTGCAAACTGCAGCCTGGTTCTTCTCTGTTTCTCATTAATGAACGACTTCTTTCTTGTGTTTTGGGACTTCAGTCCTGCTTCTAGGAGCCTCATACGAACTGTCCTAGCAGTGCACTTCCCACTTGCACTTAATGTTTTCCATTCCTTTTAAAGGTCACTTGATGCCGTCCTATGATTCATGAGAACCTGTTGGACAAGCTAACGGTCATCTCTAGCATTAGAAAGTCGCTTCTACCCTTTAACTGTCTGGTTTGTGGTTGTTCCCAGTGTCTCCTGCTTCACCTTATTCTTGTGTACTGCTTTTGAACCTTGAAGCATCCTGCTGCTCAGCGTAGCTTTCCGCCAGCAGAACCAGAATTAAACTGGGATTTAAGAATGCAAAGTTATTTAAAAATATCGAGTGGTCTCTTAATTTTTTCCACAGCTGTTCATCAATGTAAAAAGCTGACCTTTATTGTGAAATAGTTTGAATGATTGAAGTAATCACATTTGCATTATGTAAAATAATATAATAATTAATATATATGCAAAGTTTTGAAATACAGAGTATACCATGTTACTCATTATTAAATACCATCACTGTTGGCACTCTTTACTGTGCATTAATACTCATCTGATTTATTTTAACCTAAATATCATAAGTTAGTAATCTACTGTACTTACCGCTGTCGTCACCGCTCATGTCCTGAACAGTCAGTGTGGGAGGTGAATTGGTGATTGAATACTTTGCATTGTTTGACACCGGCAGACCATTCACGGACCATGATCCAGTTTCCATTTGCATAGTTACTGGAACCACACAAGTCAGCTGCAAAGTGGTACCAGGATATATAATATCATAGTTCTTTATAAAAGGCTGATTTCCTTAAAGAAATAAGGAGGGGAGAAGCTGTTAGCATGCAATCATACAGTAACAATCAGAGCTGCTGGTGCGTTGCACAAACCCCCCAGCATCCAGCATCCCTGGAGTAGCTGGGGTTAATGGCCTCGCTCAAAGGGTCGACAGTGATATGGTTACTCTGTTGGACATGGGATCCAAACCAACAACCATCTGGACACAAGCATTGACCTGCCATAAGTAAAATATTACTGCACTGTTTCTCAGTCCATTTCTTGTTCCCTCTCAGCTCCTAACACACCTGTACTGTACCAGGTACTTTGTGTTCTTCATTGGCTGGGAGCTGGAAGGTAGCAAAAATGTGGGCTGTCTGGGGCCCCCCAAGGACTCGGTTGGGAGACATTGGCAGACTTTATTCTAGAGCCCCCACAGGTCTGAAATGTCAGCTTGAACCCATCCCAGCCCCATGGTATGTCTGTCTGACCCGAGCCTGAACATTAATGGAATGAATGTAAATTTTATCTGATAGTTCGATTTTATATATTTATTCATTGGGAAGGGAAGTATGACAAAATCCAGGAGATTCCATTACTTTTTATGAATGTGCATTGTGTTTTATGGGGAGGAGGACAAGAGAGTGTGAGAGCGGGTGAGGGAGAGAAGAGCGAGCAAGAGGAGTCGAAAGAGTGGACAAAGGAGAAGATTGAGGGATAAAATCATAAAGACAACAAAACCTTAGTCTTAAAAGTAAAAATAGATGAATTTGGTAAATTAAACTGAAAAGGGTCTATTGTCATCAATAACAAAATTAAATCACTGTAATTATTGTGATCCCCGTAATCAACAGCTTTTCTTTAAATTATCATTTCAGTGTGGATTGCATTATGGACCAGCTAAATGGAAAAATTGTCTAAGGTGAAGCAGTTTCAATTGTTTCAAGTGAAACTTCGTATATCTGTCTGCAGTGACAAACCATTTAGTGCCTGTGATTTTCATCCTACCTTGAACAACTCCACCGAAGGAACTTCGGTCAACACTGTAACCCTGGGCCTGAAGATCCACTGCAACCTTACTGTTCATTGTGGCAATCTCAGTGGGACTCACACTGTTTGCCTCCAGTACAAAGTCTGTAATCACACTGCCACTCCTGTCAAACAAAATTCAGGAATATCGTCTAAATTACAGAAATAATGATTAATAATGTGTTCTGAGTATTTAGAAAATGTATGTTATTTTTCTTAAATTCCCTACTGCTATATTTGCACTAATAGTATTAGTACTACTGTTGAAAATTTTACTATTACTACTACTATTCTACTAATAATAATGATAAAGAACAGCAAAAACAAGCAGACTACCTAAATATACTGTGTTTAAAGGGGAAAACTTACCTGAAGCGAATGACATAGACTCTAACAAAACCATTTAAATTCTTGTAATTTGCAGTGAGCTGGGTAAAAGAACAAATTTTATGTTAATCAAAATGCCTGCTTAGTTAACTGCTTTTGGCAGCCTCTTCAAACAGTAAATTGATATGTACTATGCTGATAACATGCTGCTCTTCAGTTGTATAGCAGAGTAATACACAGAATTATAAACTGAAAGGTTTGTTTAAAAAAATTGAAAAAATATAAATTACATTTAAAATTATATTTAAGGCAATGTGTGTATTGCATGTATCTGAATGTTGGAAGTATTTTAAGAATGTATACTTACAATTGCTTCCATTTCTGTTTTTAATGATTTGAATTTTAAGCTTGATGAATTAGCCAAATCTTGGTCAAAGGTGAGTAGAATTTTAAATGACATCGCCAGTGCAAATTCTTTAAAAAGATGAAAGACAAATGGTAATTCATTGAGAATTAATAATTTTTTTATGATTAAATTGTTCTCCGTAATCACTGATCATTAGGAAATGCATACATGCAGTATTGTAGGAGAGAGTTTGAGGTCCCTCATGATGCACTACGACATTTTGCCAACTGGGAAAGCCCCCCCCCCCCGAGATTGCAAACAATCTTTGACTTTTACTGGACACAGCAAAACTGGCCTAAAACCATGAGTTTCATGGGCAAAATACAGAAGCCTACACAATAAAAACATTTAAACAAAGCTGTTGTTCATTCACAGTTTTTTTCTCATTCCAATAGCAGAAAGCTATTAGTTTGTTCACTTAAAACAGATTTTTTTTACATTGGGGAGAACATACTTAAGACCAGAAAATTATGCTGATACTGACATTTCTGAAAGTAACACTAAGCCAAGGGGATATTTCAGGCAATAGAAACACAAACAAAATGAAATTCCCTTTAATTGACAATGTTCTCAAATCCTTCATACCCAATGTTTCACTTTCTTTAAATTTAATCGCTAAGGAAAAAATATTTGCATATGGTGAATGATGGTACATACCAGCATTAGGACTTGGGGTCACGGGAGAAACTACAAATGGAAGGAATAATGTCAAATTTGGCAGGACTAACCATTCATGTTTCTTAAATACAATCATTCAAATTAATAAGGGAAAGAATCAGAGAATGTGTGTGTATTTCAGTGGGGAAAAATAGGGAAGATTGAAATGAGACAGTGATATTTAAGAAGTTACAAAGTGACATAGACAAAAGGGGATATTTCAGCCCATAGCCATTCTTGCAAACAAAACTAAATTTCTGCTTAACTGAAAATGATTAGCTAGTAGGAAATTCTAGGTAGTTTAAATGGATGTGGATGGAAAAGAAAAAGTCTGGTTAGCTAATAACATTCTCATACATACAGAAGACATGAATAAAAAGCTGATACTGAGGCTTTCTGAAAGTGACACAAGGTCAAGGGAATATTTCAGGGAACAAAAATGTCTGTCTAGTCTGTCTACATGTCTGTCTAGTTAAGAGCGTTCTTAAATCCTGTATGCTTCACTTTTTAGATTTCTTAAATGTAAATATTTCAAATTATCCTAGAGTCAATGAGAGGATGTGAAGAATGACATACATACCAGATGTTGATAGGGTTGGAATCGGTGTTGCTATTGGTGAAGGTACAGAAGACAAAAACAACAACTGGAAAATTAGCTCAGAGGAAATCCTAGGTAATTTAAATGCTTGGCAAGAAATAAAACAAAAGGTCTGGCTAACTTAGAGCATTCTCAGATACTGGGCAAGAAATATTTCACATTGCACAAAAAAGAAAAACAGTACTACTTTAAGTTATAATGAGGGGTACTTTAGCGGGAGAACATATAGAAGACAGGATTATTTTGCTAACACTGAGGCCTTTAGAAAGTGACGCAAAACCACGTGGATGTTCCAAGTTGAAAGAATCGAAAGCTGAAGCTATCAGATATGTTTTTCTTGTATTCACAGTCAATCATTCTAAAAATCATAAGCCAAGAAGTAATATTCCAGTTGTATAACAAAAACATGTAAAGATCAGAAGACACAACAGATATTGTTTGCTATGCTATGCCACTGGAAACAGGATGCGAGTTATATTCACAAAGCCTGTTTTGGGTTAAATTGGTTTAAGGGGACATATAGTGGTTTATTGTATTCGGGATCTTATTTGGGGGACATTTATTTTGATGGGTGTGCTTCCTGAGAGGGCTGAGGTTATCGAGGTTATCGGTCTCCCGCATGTATAAATAACCCGGAAGTGTAATGGATAAGGGAGTTCGGCCGAGCTTTCTGTTTTTGGAGATGAGCGCTGGTAAGACGCGGTTAAAATGGCCAGGTAAAGGACTTCACAGACCAAACACGGCGCGCACTGTGCTGCGCTCGGAAACCTATTATTTCCTATGGCTTGCGCCGCGCAAGGACGATTTCGCGCTGCGCCGAGCAAAATCGCAAGCGCAGCGCCAGTGCGGTACCGCGCGCCACTAGGGGAGCTTGTGCGAGCACCGCGGTCAAAGTTGAATTTTGTTGAAAAGCGCGCATGACGCATTGTCGCGCGATCAATAGAAACAAGGCACCGAACCGGGCACAGATATCGAAATGGAGGAGCAACTGATTTTTAGTGCTAGTGCTTTTTTTTTTTAGCATGCGACATATTCATCAGCATGACTGACCCCCGGTGCAACAACAAAATGAAAGGAGAATGTTCTGAAAACCACGCTCACTTTCCCCGCTGAAGCCCCGCAGCGAGCGCGACGCATTGAGCGGACACCGCTGTTGTTTTGACTGGATGCGCAAACCTCGCGGCGTGCACAACGCATGCCGCGTTTGGTCTGTGAAGCCCTTAACTCATCTGATTGGAATTGGCGGATGTTTTTCCAGCTCTTATTCTCGTCTATGGTGAAAAATGTTTTTTTTTTTTTTTAACTGTTGTAATTGTGAGTCTATAGAGAGAGTGTTTGGAACACCATTGCATGGTATTGCTGTGTTTTAATGACTAATCCTATGTGTGTGCGTGTATCATTGACTTTACTGTGTTATCAGTAGTCTTGTGTATTTGTAATTAAGTGGTTTATTCGTAAATGGTTATGGTTTGGTTTTATCGAATGTGCATATATATTAAATGGCACGGATGCTGCGTGCGAGTGCCTGTGTGGGTTGCCTAATGGTGTTCAAATAAACGCAGCTGTGTTTTAAGTTTTTGTTGTGTCCTTCCTCACCATATCTGCATTGTCTCCCAAGTTGGTGGAACGAATTTATGTAGTGGGGGTATATGCTTGTATCGGGAATAATTAGCTTTTATATCTTTTATTCGAGTGATTTACATTGCATGGTGTAGTAGCTCTAATTTAATCAAGAAAAGTCTAGGATTCCTTTTCATTTCAATTCTGCTTCTATTTATAAAATATGCAACATTACAATACGAAAATGTTGTACAAAGTGAATTTCAGTCATTTTTAAAGTGGGAAGCCAATAAATAACATTGTCAGTTGTATCCAAGGGCATAACTTTGGCTGGAACATTAGGGGAGGGGGGTTTATATTAGCTGGTTTTGATTTATTGGGGGGGGGGGGCTACAACCCCCCATCCCACCCGTAATTTACACCCATGATTGTATCATCAGGAATTCTGAAGGTCGGAATAACCAAAGACATATTTTTGCCTATGCTATACTGTTCATAACAGAATACTAGTTATGGTTTGAAATTCTGTTTAGAATAACTTTGCTGCACTACACTGTAAAAAATTATTTTTTTGTGATTGTAAATAAAGATAGTATAATTTAAGTACATTTTACAAACAAATTCTGTTTTGTCCTTTTATTTGAAAATGTTACATTTAATTCAATAAACTATTTGAGGTTTTGATGTAACTTTTTTGCACTTGAATACATAGTATTGAAATAGAGTCAACTCAAATGGAAATTCCCAAGCATTATTTACTTTGTATTTTGTCATTTAATGAACTAATGCAAAAATGGCAAACTGAAGTAAAGCTTACTCCACGAAGCCAGGCAATCTATGCACATGCTCCCTTGGGTCAGAAGTGGCGCGCAGAAGCAAAGAAAATCAACAGATCTTTTCTCGAAGAAGGTTTATACACGGTAAGTTATGAAATATTTGTTTATTGATCAATTTAGTTACGGTTACGGTTGCAGTAAAGTATAGAGCTATTAAGCTGGTTAAAGATTTAGCCATAGACTGTAAATTAGCGCATTGATAAAGTTGAGTTTGCTAAACAACTGATTTGCACAAACATAAGTTATTAGCAAATAGCATCTGTGTCGAAAACAATTGTCTTGTATTTTACATGTAATCTACGGAGAACTTTAATGTACAGTGAACTTTGAAATTAACTTTGCCGGATGCGAGCGGAGCGGCGCATCATGACAAACGGCAATACAACCCAATTGCTTGTGTGTTCACCTGTGTGAATAAATAATCTATTAATTATAATATTAAGACCTGCTAAGGACCAGATTATTTTCTATGGTGTCCTGATACATAAAACCTTAGAATTGAGAAACTTTATTTTTCACACGACTGCACCTATAAATAGTAAAACCAGAGAAACTGATAATTTGCAAAGTAAAAACCACAACATAACTTTAATTCTTAAGTTATGTTGTGGTTTTTACTTTGCAAATTTTTGTAATTTTACTTGTCTTTTCTGAGTGAAAATTGTTTCCAAGCTTTTTCAAGTAAATCCTACTCCAAATTTTTTTCAGTGTATACTTCGTATTTGACCAAGTAAGTCTATAGGCCCATTAAAAAAGGAAGAAATAAAAAATATCAAATTCGACGCGACTAACCATTCCTGATTCTTAAAAAAAAATAATTCAGACTAATAAGGGAAAGAAAATGTGTATTTCAATGGGATAACATACAGAAGATCGAAATGAGACAGTGCTATTTAAGATGTTACAAAGCCACGAGAGTACTTCAGGCAATGTAAATACAAAAACAACGTAAAATTCTGTTTAATTGACAATACAAATATTGCATACCTGATATTTCAGTTGCTTTAAATTTAAAGACTAAGGAAAAATTATTGCACATGAGAAATAATAGTAAATACCAGGTTTTGGTCTTGGGGTCGTAGGAGAAACTGCAAAAGAAAGGAATAGAAATGATATAAAATTCTTGTTTGTCATAGGATATACAAAAGACAAAATGGACAACTGGATGATCAGCTATGAGGAAATTCTGGGTTGTTTTGGAGGGAACAGAAAAGTCTGACTGACATTCTCAGATACTGATTACTTAATATTTCATATAGTAATAATGACAACATTGCTACATATTATATGGTGTATTTAGGGTTACATTTGGGAGAAAATACAGGAATAATTTCCTTTAGGATTTCTTTAGGTTCAGATTTTTTTGGATTCTGATTTTAAGTTTGCAATATAAAGAAAGTTGATATTTTACGGCATAGGATTTTCTATAAACAAAAGCACATTTCTCAGAAACATTACATTCTCGACGCATAATGTTTTATAATTCTGAAATGTAATGATTCAGACAGGTCTGAAAATCAGTGACAGGATCTGATGTAGACTGATACATACCAGTTGCTCCTTTAGCTGCTGGAGTGGTGCTGTTTTTTATGGAACCTAAGAAGACCGAAAGGACAACTGGATGATTAGCTAAGAGGAGATTATAGGTAGCTTAAAAGTTTGCGGAGAGAAGAGAAAAAGTCTCGGTAGCTAAGAACATTCTCGGACATTAAAGGGTATATTTTAGGCCGAACATACAGAAGACATGAACAATAAGCTGATATTGAGGCTTTCTGAAAGTGACACCAAGCCAAAGGGATATTTCAGGCAATACAAATACAAAGAAAAGAACTGTCAGTTTAGTTAAGAGTATTATCAAATTTGGCATATCCAACGCTTCAGTTTCTTTAAATTTAATAACTATGGCTTGTGAAGGAAATGACAAAGGAAGAATATGAAGAATAATGATAAATAGTGAATTTTAGACTTGAGGTCATGGGAGACCCTACAGAAGGAAGGAATGAAAATATAAAATTCTGTTGATTGTTACAGAACCTACAGAAGGCAGGAATAACATCTGAATGATTAGCTAAGAGGAAATATTGGGTAGTTTTGGAGGGAACAGAAAAAGTCTGGTTAGTAGATCACCTGTAGATCTAACCAATTACATTGGCATTGTTTTTTTGCACCATCACACTAATTTGTGGTGCTGAAAAATGATACGAATTCAGATGATCTGGGAATCAATAATAGTATCAAATGAAGACTGATACATACCAGCTGTTGTAATAGCTGTTGTAGTTGTGCTCTTTGTTACAGAACCTATAATAAAGAAAGGACAACTGGATGATTAGCGATGAGGAACTTTTAGGTACTTTTGGAGTGAATAGGAAGAATCTGGTTAGCAGATCACCCAGAGATCTGGCCAATTCCATTGGCGCTTTTTGAATTGTGCCACCAATTTATGCTGCTTAGGAAATATACAAATTTAGATGATCTGAGAATCAATGATATTGATCTGTTGAAGACTGTTACATACCTGTTGTTACATGAACTGGCGGACTGGTGCTGTTTCTTGCAAAACCTACAAAAAACAAAAGTAAGCAAGGATGATAAGCTATGAGGAAATTCTAGATACTTCTGGAGAGAAAAAAAGAATCTGGTTAATAGATCACCTGCAGACCTGGTCAATTCCACTGGTGCTTCATTTTTATACTGCCCGCTTGCTAATTTACTCTGCTTAGTTAATGTACAGATTCAGATGATCTGGGAATCAATCACAGAATCTGATAAAGACTGATACATACCAACTGTTGTACTAGGTGTTGAAGTGGTGCTGCTTGTTGCAAAACCTACGAAAAAGATAAAGTAAACCAGGATTATTATCTATGAGGAAATTCTAGGTAGTTTCACATGTAGATCTAGCCAATCCCATTGGCATTTGTTTTTTTTTTTTGCATGCTCACGCTAATTTGTGGTGCATAGTAATGGCACAAATTACGATCTGGGAATCAATGGAAACATCAAATGACGACTGATACATACCAGCTGTGGTATTAGCTGTTGGAGTTGTGCTCTTTCTTGCAAAAGCTACAAAAAAGAGAAGAGTCTGGTTAACAGATCAACCGTAGACCTGCCGAATTGCACTGGTGCTTTATTTTTATTGAGCCCGCATGCTAATTTACGTTGCTTAGTAAATGAACATATTCAGATGATCTGGGAATCAGTGAAGGCATCAGATGAAGACTGATACATACCAGCTATGGTTTTGGCTGTTGGGGTTGTGCTGTTTGTTACAAAACCTACAAAAAAAAGAGTAAGTAAACCAGGATTCTTAGCTACAGTATAAGGAAATTCTAGGTAGTTTCAGAAGAGAAAGAGAGAAGAGAGTCTGATTAACAGATCACCTGTAGATGTAGTCAATCGCATTGGCATTTTTTTTGCACTCTCACGTAATTTTGTGGTTCTTAGTCATAGCACAAATTAAGATGATCTGCGAATTAGTGACAGCATCAGATGATGACTGATACATACCAGCTGTTGTATTAGGTAGCAAAGTGGTGCTGCTTGTTACCAAACTTATGAAAAAGAGAATGTAACCAGCATTCTTAGCAAGGAGGAAACTGTAGGTAGTTTTGGAGGGAATAGAAAAAGTCTAGTCAATAGATCAACTGTAGATCTAGCCAATCACACTGGTGCTTTATTTTTACTGTGCCCGTATGCTAATTTATGTTGATTAGTAAATGAACGGAATCAGATGATATGGGAATAATACCAGCTGTTGTGTTACGTATATAAGTGGTGCTG